ACATATTATATATATATATATATATATATATATATATATATATATGAATGTCTATATTAGAATTGAATCATGGGTGATGCGAGCATAAACTAAATAAAAGAATTGCTTAAAATAATAGCAAAGTGCAATTTTGTTTATACAACTACGAAATTTAGAAAGTAAATACTTTGTTTAAGATTGGCTTTATTGTTATGCATAGCATAAGTACAAAACTTTGAACTGTGCTAGCACGCATTAATCCACAGAATTTATTAGTTCGAAATATTAACAAGTCATAGTTTAGCACTAAACATTACTCTTTTGGCTTGGTAATTGCCTATAGTCAGAAATTTGTGGTGTCATTTTCATAATCAGATTCCGACTATTCTGTGGCTAGCTAGTTAACTGACCAATAATTTTGAGAATTAAAATAATATATATAAAATAAGTATAATTTTAATGTTTAATCTTAGTAAAATTTATTATTATCAGTCATAAAATAGTGTAAACCAGTTTTCTTTTACTATAATACACTTTACAAATGAACAAATGATATGAATAATATATTTCATAAAGAAAGCTTAGAAGAGTCGTAACATCTTGTTTACGTATTATAAAATTCATGTTGACTTTGAATTCTCACCTAATATTCCTTGAATTTTTAAATTAATTGTTTTTTTAATATGTTTTGAATTTTTTATTCTCAGTGCATTTACGTGTAATAATTTCGAAAAACAATTTGAAATAGTTTTAATAATAACTAAAAAAAAATTAAATTTATTATTATTTTTATCCGGTCCAATATACATATTAAAAAACACATTTCAATAAAATCTAGAGTGTTACTTCCTCCGCCACCCCATCTTCTCCCTTCACCTCCCCAAATTTTTTTAAATTTCAATCTTACCCTTTTTACTTTTATCTTTACTTATTTTATTTTTTATTTTTTAAAACCCTAATCCTCTTTCACTTTCACTCTTTCTATCAGAGGCAAGCCCCCACCCCCCACTCCCACTTTCAATTTTATAAATAATTTTATTAATATTAAAATATTACTACTAATATTTTTCACATTTAGTTACTTTTTTAATATTACTACATATAATATGATGATTCTAAATTTGTATAAAGAGCGCTATTTATTTATTAGAAGGATTAGGAAATGATTTGACAAGTTCTTAAAATTTCAAATGTGCACCATAAACAGGCAAATAATAGAATCTCAAGAAAACAAATCACAGCACCAGATGAAATGCAAATAAAAACAGTCTCAAAATAAGAAACTCCTTGCAAACTTTTTCTAGGGCACAATCTCATATTTAGTTTATTGAAGGACATTCAAGCCTTTTTCTTTGCGAATGTGAGGAAGATTGGGCGTAACATTATTGGCGTAGACGATGGAGCATCCTCCAAATAAGATAGCACCGAACACGCAATGCCAATCCATCGGTTATAATCAAGTGTAAGATGCACAACGAATACCATTAAACCAAGTCCAGAAATGAAGTAAAGGATCCAACTGGATAAGAATTCAAAGATCAACACCGAAGCGCAAATTAGAGCAGGAAACATCAGTCCAAGAGAGGCGAAAAGTGACACATTCCCAAATACCAACTTTGTTAGCCGCAACCGGACAGACTCTTCCTCTGGTCTTGCCCAACATACAGGAAGAATAACCGAAGCGTAGAAGAACATAGACGAAGCGCATAAACATGTTCCAAGTGCAACGGACAGAAAGAAAAACGTATACCATATCTTCCTTGAGAAAAAAGGAGTATTTCTACTATCGATATTCCCAATAGGAAGGGTCATACCTCCGGTGATCCCTAGGCCAATAACCAGAGTTGCTACCACTAACAATGTATTTGCCGTAGCTTGCAGTCCTGATATTGATTCCTTGTGCAAAATTTCGTGTGTCAGATAGAACAATTCTTTTGGAGTCAAACCATCTTTGTTTTTCATTGTTTTCATTGCAGGTGGAACTATTTTCTCCACATCCTGTTTGGATAAAAGTGAAGACTATTAGTATAATGAGGAAGAAAAAGAAGATAAGCAGTGAAGTAATTATTAAAAAAAAGTATAATAAATGCATTAAGGAACAAAAGACAATAAGTAAAGATTATTCATAAAAAGAGGCTAACCGTGCAGACAAGCATACATACCTGAAACCATTTCTCCTCACTATTCATTAGAACATGGTTTGTTGAAAATCCTGGTTTTATTTCACGTTGTCCCATCTTTCCAGCTATGTGAAGAACAGTGTTATCCCCAGAATCAACCAGTTTTGTCATAATATTCTTTGCAGCCGGCTTGCTTAATATTAGTTTGCAGACAGATTTTTGTCGATGTAGAATTGCAATGTGAAGTAAGCTTTGCTTGCTAGAGTTCACTTCAAATAGCAAATCAGGATGGTACTTTAACAGAAGTTCTAAAATATTAGTGTTTCCTGATTTTGCTGCATCGAACATTGCTTTCGACAATTGTGCATGGTTGATAGTATCTTTCTGCTTTTCCATGCCTTTAAAAACAGAATCTACAATCTCTCGATAGCCAATAGTTTCCTCGCAAAGGGCTGCCATTGAGTTTAAATTATTAGCCCCATTTAGTTTAGGTGCTATTTTAGTCAAATATATTGGGATATGATTCTTATTGAAATAATAGTTGTAGGGGTTACATCAATTATTGTGTAATATATGTGAAATTAGTTAAATTATTATCATATCCTAAAATCTGTTTTTTTTTCTTTGACTGTTATTAAAATGTATTCAATTCAATAAAAGTATATATTAAACTTTTTTATATTTATGCGTAAATATATCCAAACATAATATATATATATATATTAGGTTGACTTACAAGGTCTAACAAAGGTGATAATGAAATGTAGGTCATTGTTTGGTAGAAGGAGAAGATTATGGCCAAAGTACAGTACGATGTAATTAGTCTGCTTCCAAAAGCTATAAGTAAGATAGTTTTGAACTCGGAATCAAGTCAAGTTCAATTAGGACACATCAGGTAATAAGTTAGACTTTGATTATTTGGTTGGTCTAGAGCTAACACAAATCTAATAGATGGCAATGACACAAATTAGGTCAAGATTTACTAAGTTGAGTTAGATTCACACATCAAAATCATGAGTATATTAGATTAAGTTGGATCGATCTTAGGTGAAGTTGAGCTAAGTTATTATAAAAAAACTCTTTAATAATAATTAATTTTAATGATAAGAATATGTTTAATAATTAAAAATATGTTTAGTGATTAATTTAAAGAACAATTTCTTAATTAAAGACCAATTTTTCTATAATTAAAATCTTATTAATTATTGTTAGTGACGAATTTAAAAACTAATTCATAATATAAACTATTTTACTTACCAATTTAAAAACTAATTATAATTTTTTAAAACTATATTAAATACCAATAATTTTTAGTTTATAAATTGATATTTAAATTGATTAATAACTAATTAGCTTTGTCACTAAAATTCATTATTCAATAATTTTGTTGTAGCGAGTTTATTCTCATCCATGTGAACTAGAATCTATCCAAGCTCATATAAACGGCAGCCGGCTTGCTAATATTAGTTTGTAGACAGATTTTTGTCGATGTAGAATAGCAATGTGAAGTAAGCTTTGGTTGCTAGAATTCACTTCAAATAGCAAATCAGGATGGTACTTTAACAGAAGTTCTAAAATATTAGTGTTTCCTGATTTTGCTGCATCGAACATTGCTTTCGACAATTGTGCATGGTTGATAGTATCTTTCTGCTTTTCCATGCCTTTAAAAACAGAATCTACAATCTCTCGATAGCCAATAGTTTCCTCGCAAAGGGCTGCCATTGAGTTTAAATTATTAGCCCCATTTAGTTTAGGTGCTATTTTAGTCAAATATATTGGGGATATGATTCTTATTGAAATAATAGTTGTAGGGGTTACATCAATTATTGTGTAATATATGTGAAATTAGTTAATTATTATCATATCCTAAAATCTGTTTTTTTTTTTCTTTGACTGTTATTAAAATGTATTCAATTCAATAAAAGTATATATTAAACTTTTTTATATTTATGCGTAAATATATCCAAACATAATATATATATATATTAGGTTGACTTACAAGGTCTAACAAAGGTGATAATGAAATGTAGGTCATTGTTTGGTAGAAGGAGGAGATTATGGCCAAAGTACAGTACGATGTAATTAGTCTGCTTCCAAAAGCTATAAGTAAGATAGTTTTGAACTCGGAATCAAGTCAAGTTCAATTAGGACACATCAGGTAATAAGTTAGACTTTGATTATTTGGTTGGTCTAGAGCTAACACAAATCTAATAGATGGCAATGACACAAATTAGGTCAAGATTTACTAAGTTGAGTTAGATTCACACATCAAAATCATGAGTATATTAGATTAAGTTGGATCGATCTTAGGTGAAGTTGAGCTAAGTTATTATAAAAAAACTCTTTAATAATAATTAATTTTAATGATAAGAATATGTTTAATAATTAAAAATATGTTTAGTGATTAATTTAAAGAACAATTTCTTAATTAAAGACCAATTTTTCTATAATTAAAATCTTATTAATTATTGTTAGTGACGAATTTAAAAACTAATTCATAATATAAACTATTTTACTTACCAATTTAAAAACTAATTATAATTTTTTAAAACTATATTAAATACCAATAATTTTTAGTTTATAAATTGATATTTAAATTGATTAATAACTAATTAGCTTTGTCACTAAAATTCATTATTCAATAATTTTGTTGTAGCGAGTTTATTCTCATCCATGTGAACTAGAATCTATCCAAGCTCATATAAAC